GTATATATATATATATACTTATAACACAAACGCTCTGTGACAGAAGATCGGCGGCATATAACCTTGTAGCTTTGGCATAAACTCAAAAAAGTATATAGTGGAAGGGACTCTACCAAGAAATGACACACGATATTTCGAGCCTTGCCATCTGTTACACATATGTTGGATTGGGTATATTATTCAGGAAGAAACACAGATACAAGCATTTCCAAGAAAATATTTCATATGTCATCTATACATGAAATTCAACATGAACATTTTCACTGCCGTGAGAGCATTATCCCTGGTCATTGGAGTATTAGGGGAAACAGATCTTGAATTGGAGAAAGAACCCGTTAGGAAATTGTTTAATTTGATGTGTGGTGGGTATAATTAAACGTTTTTTCAATATTATTATTTTCTCAGTTTTAGGTAAAAGCTTATGTATATATATATATTTCTTAACATCAACATTATAGAAACCAAAATTTATTAAAATTTCTTTGTATTCCAAAATTTATATATTTTCTACAATTTACATTAAACTGGCGTATTGTATAAGATCATAAGATTAATACTATTTTTCATCGTTTCATTGTAGAAACATTCATTTCTTAGTACCGATTTTTCAAATAAACTATACTTTACCATAGTGTTTTTTTTTTATTAATCTCGCACCAAGGTACTCGAATGTTATATGCGTCAGCCGTTCCTAATTTGGAAATGATAAGCTGGGTCTATAAGGAAAACATCTTGTCTATATCACCCATTAACGAACGGAAGTGGGATTGACCGTCATTTAAAACGCCCTCCACCCACACTACTGAAAGGTCAAACATAGTAGGTGATGGGGTTTGAAACCACGACCCACAGATTGCGCCCCCTAACCACGATATTTACTTCTCATAACGAAATTACAAGAATTCACTGACAGAGTTTTTGAATCTGCTCTTATTTTTCTACTTAGCTCAACCAGTTTTCTGTGGTAAATTTAACACTATTTGCCACCACTTAAGAGATCAATCACTTTATGCAAGAACGCTAACTTTTCAAAGCCATTTTGTTTAAAACGTGGATTTTAGCCATGATTATTTTCCACGTGTTGGACAACTATTAGTGTTCTCTTCACATAGCTGTAAGTCCCCATATTGTATAATGTTCTTTTTAGTTTTCTTTGTGTGTGTTTTTTTTTAGTTAAGTTACCACCTGGTAGCTCTGTTGGTAGTTTATATTTTTGGTAGTACTTTATTTTCTATTTGGAGTAACCAACTTTTCTCTATGTATTTCATATCTCACAGCTGGCTTTGGTTTTTACATTATTTATTATCCTCACCTGCTCGCTCTTTAGGTACATCGTTAATTGTTCGTTACTCTAACGATAACAAGTGTAAGGCCATTAAAATTTCATGTCATTCTGTCATTAAGGCCAGGAGTTATTGTCTTCATTACTAGCTATTTTTTGCGAGGGGATGTTAGAACTGGGTAACTTAATCGTTACCTAAGAGCATCGATTAGCATTATATAAACTGATCTATTAACCGAAATTAGGGTTGCAACGGTCTAAAATAAACACGCCGCTACAATCAGGGCTGAACAACGAAAAATGAAGTTTATTTAACTACTAGCGTATAGCCCGACAAAAATGACGGCGTAAGGACTACCACCCCTACCCTAACATCACATTTCATAGCTAACTGAAATAAATAAATTTTGCGAAATAAGGCTTGACCCACAAAGAGGCAGAAAAGTGCAGTCGAGGCAGTCAAACGTTCGTAAAGATCATTTATGTAATGAATCCGTGGCGTATTCATAGAATAATTATTGGTAAAAATCAGTTAGATTAACAACTTCTAATATATAGAAAAGCCAGTGTGTTTTAGTAACACTATATTCCAAGAATGGCTTTTATGTCATGTTGCTTAGCAACAAAAGTGGATCATGCTAATTACATGTGTTTCGCGAGCAATTAATACTATTTTTTCTATTTATAGTTAGTTCCTTCGGTGATATTTTCTACAGACTTGAGTATTTTAAACTAATTTTAACATCGTGAAGATTTATTTCGGCTTAGTTATATTAATATAACTGTTTATAGAAATCTTGAGTTTTTCTCTCTCTCCTTACTAATGACCAAGGTTTTGTATTCCAAATATCTCAACCACTAAAATGCAAGTAGAATGAAAAACCGTTATGATTTCACATGAAATTCTGCCAGTGTTTGTTTATGTTTTTTCGTGATATTCCATGGACAGTCAAGGTGATCGTGACAGACCGTTAGACCAGTGGTCGGCAACCTATGACCCGCCAAAAGTTGGCTTCACCATTGCAACCCGTAAGGGCACAATCATTGTTCAGTTCAAGTTTCTCGGCTATGTGAGAAGAACAACGATATTAAAGGAAAGGGGAAAATATCAAACTGGTCGAACTATAAATTTTTTTGTATGTAACTAAACATACACATTTAAAATACATGTATCGGTATTAATAATTATATGATTATCACTGACCCAACACAATGCTAAATTTTTCAAAAAAAACATAACTGACCAGCGATCAAAAAAGGTTGCCGACCACTGCGTTAGACTATTGCTCTAAAAAATAATTGTATATGTTTTTATATTTTACTCAATATCTTTATTAACTGTTTCAACGTGTCTTGAATCAAATTGAAAACGACGACAAAAAAAAAGTAATATCGATTTTTAGAAATTTTCGCAAGAATTTAAAATAAAGATGAGTATTAAATTCTAATTTTCGTCAAATAACTTTCATAGTTATAGAACAAAACAGTGTAGCGTGTGGTGAATAATTTAACATTCTAATGATTTTTTTTTCTACTGCTCTTAAAAATACCGGTTTTTCTCCTTCAGACAATTTGAAATCTCAAGCATTGTTGGACAAAAATGCGTGGTTACTTGCAGCGAAGAAAGTCATGGATTGTTGGTGGGTGCTTGCAGAGATAAACGAACTGATGGTTCGTATGGTTTACATTTTATCAATTATTTGAATATACTTTTCGTTGAAGTAAAACTAAATCAAACAAATACAGCGTTTCCTTTTAAATAGCTGAGCAGTTTGTCATAATTTTAGTAATATCCTTGTTTGGAGATATTTTTTATTCCAGTAAAATGCTGCTGTTCAGAATTGAAAACAATATAAGGCTATAAATACAGAATTAATTGAACTAAATTGGTAAGCGAATTTCGGGAGTTAATAATATAAAGCAAATTATTAATACATTTACTCAATAAGTTTATTTGAAAACAAAAAAAAATCAATGAGAGAATAATACATCATCGCATCTTTTATTCGTTTGACTGTAGGTAAACTATTTAATTTTATAGAAGTATAAAGCCCTAAGCCAATATTTTCTTTCATATTATTCCTTTTTAACTCGTTTATTTTAATTTTAGTTTCCTGTAGTTGTTGAAAAATGTGAAAAAGATATGATCAGATTTGACCAAGATCGTGAAGAATGGGTTGACATGTGCGTTGACGCAAATTTGATGGTAAATTTTACAAACCAGTTTTTTCTGTAACTCATAACGAGACGTGTTTCTAAGAAAACGCATATTATTGTTCAGCTTTTGCAAAGATATTGTAACGAAAAAGAAAAGATGAAGGATTATTTCGTAAAAAAACCGACGTCTTTTTGTCGTATATTTTACATAAAATGAGAAAGATAGTACTAAAAATAAGTAGAAATATATCTAAACGTGGATGAAAACTACATGTTTTCAGTCTGCTACAACTTTAATTTTCAAATTTGTTTATAGTTATACAATAATAGATCCGACTTTAAGATGTTTTCAAGAAACTATTAATCCTATTTTTCCTACATTCTTCCTACTAAATATTTAATAAATATTTAATATATCTTCTTATTTAACAAAATGTAACGTAATAAAATTATTAGTTATGCTTAATTTTATTAGAACTGATTTATACTTAACACACACACACATATATATATGATTTAATACTAATTGTGTAATAATAACTTAATTGCAGAATTCGGCTGAATCCTGTATATTGGAGAAACTTCTAGACACAAGCATCAACTTGGATTTACTCTTCGCAACCGTTGAGGTATGTAATAGACAGATACTTTAAATAATGTATTTGCTTAGAATTTGTGAGAAAAATCACGTAAACTGCTGACAGTTTTTTCCCCCACAATCCTCTTCTCCCCCGATGGGGAACGGTATGTTTACGGACTTACAACGCTATAGTCCAGGGCTCGATTCCCCGCGGTGAACACACCAGATAGCCCAATGACAAAGAAACAAATACAATCCTTTTAATTTGCCCATTTTTAAATTTTTTTTGTAATGTTCAATCTTAAAAACTCAAAATTTATAAAAAAAAACAACGATTATTTTATACACAATTCTATAAAAATGAGATTGTTTCCAGTCTCCAAATTACTAAAATACAATAACTTACTGTACAGGATAAAAAGTGGTAGAAATCCCGATGAAACTGGAAAACAATCTCATACATTCCACATGTTTCGACGTATATTATTGCGTCATCCTCAGAACTCGTCAGATGATGTGTACAATGAAAGCCAAAATATTCTCTGAAACACTGTTTATGTTTGTATGCAATATAACATTTTCGAATTCGATGACGAGGAACCCACTTTGAGACTAATAATGGCTGGAGACGGCTTGAATGGGTAATGAAGA